AGTTGGCGACCCATTGGACTGTATGGGTGTCTACGCCACAGTCCCCCAGCTTCCTAATGAGAATGGGGTGAGAGACAGTATCAAAAGCCTTCCTGAAGTCCAGGAAAACTATATCCACTGCCACCCCTGCATCCAATGATTTAGTGACCTGGTCGTAAAAGGCCACCAGGTTGGTCTGACAGGACCTGCCACTGATGAACCCGTGCTGGTTGCCTCTGAGCATGCAGCTCCCTGCTGGCCCCTCCTGGATGCGTGCCAAAATAATAATGATGCATCAGCAGTAGCAGGGTGTAGTGGCTTGGGCAGCCCTTTGCTGGACAAGCAGCATATCATGTGGTACCCAGGACATGCACAGAAGGGGCATGTTTGGGGCAAAGCAGGAGTCTGGGAGGGGTGGCCCCAGGGCACCTCCCTGAAGATACCCCTTGCAGGGAGGGTGGGGCATGGCCAGCCTTTCACCCCATTTGTCTGGGAGCCCTGCACACCTCAAGCCCAGGTGCTGTGGGCTGGGCAGCAGTGCAGCAGAGTGGTTGGCTTGCAGGTTGGGGGGAAGTAGTCTGGAGCTGCAGCAGCATATTCCTGGCTTGCCCTGGGAAGGGGGCAGGGGAGGTAGGCTGCCTGCAGCCAGCTCCCAGTGGGCCGCTGGCCTCAGGGGAGCACATGGGGCTGGAGCCCTTGGTCAGTGATCGCCTGGGTCCAGCCCTTCCTGGACAGCTTACCATGGTTCCTAGGCATTTGTATGGCCAACCTCTGATCTGAGGCCAGGCAGCACAGTGTGCCTGGTGCAGAGCATCTCATCTCTGCAGTGTTGCAAAGTCACACAAAAGGTTTGTATGTCTCATCTCTGCAGGGCCAACATCTGGATGCTGGGGAGAGGCTGCAGATCCCTGTGGGAGTGCTGCAGCAGGGTTTCAGCTGTCCAAATGTGCTGGCTGCCCCAGAAGCACACCACAGACTGGACCCTCCTGTTCCAGTGCTTGGTGGCAATGGTTGAGAACTGGGCAGTGTGGGAACAGGCATGACAATAGGTGCAGGAGCTGGCCTGGCAGAACAAAGACATCATCCCAGAAGGCACGGGACTGGGTGCAGTGGGTATGTTGGGCCCAGCTGGAGGCCCTGGAGCAGCACCATGTGGAGCTGCTCCAGCAGCAAATGGCCAGCTAGGGCCAGCCACTGGAACCCATGTGCAGGCCCCCCAACACTGGGCCCCTCGCCCTGCAGGGTCCCTCTTACTGT